TCATCTACTGCATGTGGGTTGAAATTTATGAATGCATAGAGAAATATTTGCGAATTCCTCGCTGCTAATTTTGCTTAAATACTTATTAAGAGTTTATTTTGGTAATCGCATATTATATATATATATATATATATATATATATATATATATATATATATATATATATACTTATCTATATATATTGCACATAATATGAAATATAAAAAATTATACTATATATAAATATAAATAATTTTATTTTAGAAAGATAATCTCGAAGATCTCTCTACAACTATCAAATTGCTATTTAAAACTTTCTTTAAAGATTCAATATCAGTAATGGTTTGTATTTTATAGTATTACCTACTAAAAATAAACCGATAACCGAAGTAAGTTACTAAATCTTTTAAGTTCTGTTAGGCAGTAGAGTGTCGGAGATGATTATAAGTTCTAGCAGACTTTTATTAGCTTTTCTTATCAATATGTTATTATATATCGTAATTCGAATTTAACCTCCTTCTAATTAAAAGTAACATACTTTATACATAGAGAAAATCAGATGACAATACCATAGCGCGGACCTGATAGAGCCAGTTAAGGTGGGCGGTGAAATTCTTTAACGATTTCTAGTAAAAACTTCGAATTTAATTTTATATTATCTAAATTATGTTTCGGCAGTAAATTCAGCGCTTTTTTATATAGTTATATAGTTTTTATATAATAAACAAAACTAACTTTTCAAATAAAAAAAATTTTTTTTTTGCAAACATTGCAATGGAAATGATAATCCATCATCGAAATGTAACATGCGGAAGGTATTGTTAAATAACTCTGATTGAATGTTACGTTTAGTTAAGTTAACTTATGTTACGTATGTGCACGATATCTTAATTGCTCATAGAGGTGGTCTATAAATTATAGATATGGGTAAAATATACCACATACAGAAATATCTGTTAGATTATTGTATAAAGTGGTAAACTAGAATTGGTTGATGAACTAAGTTTCCATGATAGCCTTTTTCTTAGAATATTTTTAAACCAATAAATGTTCGGCGTTAGTAATAAAATATTCATGTGGAGTTTTATTCTTCATTTTAATTTTGAAATCTGATTCTAAATTGGATTATTTATTCTCAAAACACGTTTAATAAGTGAGGAAAACAAAGTAGTAACGATAAGTTTTTAAATATTGAAATTATTTATAATTAATCGTATTATTAGACGAATATCATTAACATTGTTTGTTGTTTTTCTATATTTGAATTTATATGAACTATTCTATGATCTTTTAAGAACTATACTTCAACTAGCGGCTCACCCTCGCGTCGCTCGGGTTCGTCGCTAGGTACGTTTTAAATAGATATAAATAGTTATTAGCCAGCGTTAGCCATATAAATTTTAATTTTTTTTCGTTAATTTTTCATTTTTTCTCTTTATTAAAACCTTCCGTGGACCTTAAGGAACATACCAAAAAAATTAGCCGAATTGTTCCAGCCATTCTTGAGTTATGCGCTTACCAACATTCATTTTTATTTATATAGAAGATAATATGTAAACCAAATAATGTGGCAATAGAAGCTCTACTCGGTATCATTGCAAAGGTACAAAATCGGCGGAAAGTTTAATACAGTGTTGCAAGTAATCTTTATATCAACTTCCAGTCTAATTTTGAGTCGCTCACAATGGAACTTAACGAGTACCTAAAACTTTTATACCGCCATTTGTTGCTATCCTTAAAAATAAAAGACATATTTTATTCAATTCTAATCACGTTTAGAGTTACTCAGACACTATTTCGTTGAACCCAAGCCGTCGGCAGATTCTACTCACGTCCCTTTCTTTAAGGAAGAAAGGAAGTGACCTAACTGTAAAAGTTCTGTTTTAGTAAAGTAGACCCAACTGTTTTAATATTTGGGTTAATTTTTGAGGTTAGTAGAAAGTTGTTGACAGACGCGTAACAGTTATATCACAGAACTTTAGACTTCGTTATTAAATCACATTTTTAACTCTTTTCTTAGATCATCGTAGATACTTACTAGTTTAGTAAGACTAAACTTCACTTCCTTATGTACTTCCTACATATGTTCGAACGGCATTTCTCTCGTTTTAGTTCACATTTTATGCAATCGAGCTTTTTTTTCGTTTTTATAGCTTACTTTTTACATATTTATAGATTTTAGTTTTGGCCAGTTCGACAATTTCCGTTTAATTTATTAATCCTTTAACAATTTGTTAATCATTATTAAATAAAGATCTAAGAAAGTATTATAATTTGTTAATCCTAAATATTTTTATGAAAGAAACTATTTTTAACGTAAAACACCACATAAGTCACACGTAAAAACTCAACCCAATGGAAAATCCGTTAAATTTAAATGCAAACACCTGTTAAAGTAACATTAACAAGCAATTATGTACTGACTCTCGAATTAAATTTTGTTAAAAATACAAAAAGGATCGTGTTTTCCCAGCCTGATCACAAAGCGGGTTTTGAATAATTACTACATAATTAGTAATTACGTAGTTCTTGCGCGTTTACCTGTAGATCAAAGCGCTAGTATGAGAAAATCACTTTCGTTTTCTATACTAATTCATTTTTATTTCTAAGAATCTATTATATCTTTTGAAATAACTATTATATAAATAATGAATAAATGATAAATGTAAATTTTTAGCTTATAGATTTTTTCTTTTTAAATTATAATTTACAAACAGCATAACAAAAATTTTACATTAGAAGCTATTGTAACTAATTTGAAAACAATACTCCAATTTAACACTGACCTACTTTTACAACGGTTTTTAAACGCTATTATCAAAGAAGTATTCGTGTATAACTTTAGTAAACAATTATTATGATATTATTCTAAACTAGCAACTCACCCTTGCTCTGCTCGAGTTTGTTCCTACGTTACGTTCTAACGTTTAGTGTAGATTTCTCAGAGATGAGATATTTTCCCGAAGTAAAAAGTATCCTACCCGGATAACCAGCTACCATCATAACAAAAATTTCATCAAAATCCCTCCTGTGGTTTTTCCGTAATGCGGTAACAGACAGACAGACTGACAGACAGACCGACAGACAAAAATTAAAAAAACTATAGATTTGGCCTCTGTATCGATAATAATGTCTATTGCAATAAGATTTTCCAAAAAATATTTAATGTACAGATTAGGTTTAGTTACAATTTTATTATATGTATTTTTAATTATATAATTTTATTATATTTTAAATATAATATACCTAGTAGCGACTTATCAGTGTATATAGCCTACATGATCTAATAGATAATAAGAATAATATATAATCTATAGATCATAAGTCATAGTCTATATTCTGTATACTAAATATCGCATATCATCTAAAATCGTCCATCCGTTTCAGTGTGAAGAAGTAACAAACAGCCAATTTCCACATATTTTATAATAGCAGTCCGATAAATGAATAAAAAAAGCAGAATTGCAAATAGAGCTGATTTACAAAAAAACTACGTATTTTTAGTTTGTTGTTATTTGCATTAATTACGTTAAGTGTTAGTTTATATTTTCCCATACATTGAAAATAGGTTCTCATAGTTGAATATTCAGCGTCAAAGACCTTAAGATTCTCAGTAGATACAAAACCCGGAAGGGAGCATAGAAAAATGGGGAAGTTGTTTTACAAGCACTTCACAATGAAATTGGAAAAATTCTTAGATTAAGTCTAGTTAGAAAGTAGCAAATAAAAAAAAAACAAGATAGCAAAATGATTTCCCTACATATTTTGCACATTATGTTACGTAACGAAAGATTATTTTATTTATTAATGTGTTGCTTAACTCTTGATTGATTTAGGCGTTAGAGCCATGAATAAACAATAGGTGTTAATTTTTTTACACCCACGCAAGATGAAAAATTTATGTTAGGTTCAAAAGTTTAAGCTTAACACTTGACACTTTGAATGGTAAAAAATTTGTTTGTTACTCTTTTGACAAATGTATGCATTAATAATAAAACGTATTACTACATAATATATAGATTTACTAGTATTGCCCGCGGCTCCGCTCGCGTTCAGATGACCAAAAACCAAATTCTTAGGTTTTACATATTAGTATATTCTTACAATGCAGTTTTTGTATTTTTTTTTCTCAGAAATGAGATAGTTTCCCGCGGTAAAAATGTTGACCCGGATAACCAGCTATCACCGTAAAAAAATTCATCAAAATCCCTCCAGTAGTTTTTCTGTGATGCGGTAACAGACAGACAGACAGTCAGCCAAAAATTCTAAAAACTATAGATTCGGCCTCAGTATCAATAATAATGTTTATTTCAATAAGATTTTCCAAAAAATCTTTAATGTACAGAATCGGCTTGGTTACAATTTTATTATATGTATAGACAAAGCCTTAAATAAATGAAAAAAATATTAATTTGATCATATTTTTTTCTAGCTCACTATTAAAATATGTAAATATAATAAAATAAGAAAACAGAAAAAGCCCCATTTTATGGTTTTGCAAACTAAATTTACTTACATTACTTAGTTGTTTAGTTGGACATAATACTAAGACACCATATTGTATTTTATGACCATCATTAACGCGAATTTAATGACTCTTGTACATTCACTTCATACAATTCAATTACGCTTATTTTTAGGTTTGAGCAATCGGCAAAAATAAGCCATTACATATCTATTTAAACCAGCATTTTCTTTCTTTTACAGAATAATGAAAACACAGGCGTGGAAGATGAGTACCGAAACTGCCTTTTCGATGATGATTGACTAGATATCTGTTTCTGAAAAGAGCATCATTCAGAAGAAAAGAGCATGCTAGTAACAAACTGCGTAGAAACGATAAGGATAAACTAAATACCACACAACATTGACCCAAAAAATTAGGACTAAAACTTTCTTATCAAAAAAGCTACCAAGAAGCTTTTAAGAAACAAAACATGTGCGAATTTTCTTAAATAAAGTTGGGCTGTGCCAATCAACTAAAATCTCATACCGGTAAAGTGTTAGTGAATTTGTAATATATGAAATCAGATAATATGAATATGTCAGTCAATAATGACTTGAGTGATACCGACAGTGCGCCAAAGCTGCGAATGAAGCCCGCCATCAGCAGGATATTCTGCTGCAGCGTGACAGCTGCCTCGGGATTTATAGCTGCCTATGCTTTGGTATGTTACTCCCCATAAAAAATCTTTACATGATTTATTGTGATCTAACCAAATTTTTATTCACAAGTACAAGGCATCATAGTTTAGTAGGTACTATGCTATATTATCCATACTTAATATTATAAATGTGAAAGCGTGTGTGTTTGTTTGTCCTTCTTTTACGGAGTGACGGATTAGCGTGATTTTTTGTGTGGAGATAGTTGGAGGGCTGGAGAGGGCGGGAGATTATCTCATTCTCACGGAAAACACGTTATAATACAACTCAAAAAAAAGATTAGGATTACTTTTCAATATAATTAAATAAATACGCGTTTAAGCATTTTTCGAAATTCATCCAATAAGGGGGTAAAATAGGGCATGAAAGTTTGTGTGAAACCTACCTTTTCCGAGTTTTAACGCGAGCGAAACCACGAGTTCTGCTAGTAAATTATATTTATTAGTATTAAAATATATTACGGCTAAGCACTATTCTTATACATAATACATCTACATAGTTAAAATTTTCGTAAAGTCTTATTTATAATGCAGGATTGCATCGCATAGTAGCATTAAATTGTATTTTAAGTCGGTCTATAAAAGCACTTTTGAAAGTTCACTTGTATTAAGTATTCACTTAATGTACTGACATATATCCGCTAAGACAGATTAATTTTATCGAGTAGATTACCTACGTTATTACATAATCACTAGGTTTTTGATTTTAACGTTTCAAGGGAGTCTAGGCTGCAGAGAACAACATTGTTTATTAAATAGAAGGGGCTACCAACTTTAAGGCCAAGTTATCTCACGAGATGTTGAAACAGTGAGAGCAGCGCTTAGCAGAATGCGTAATAAGCTACGATAAGATTTGTTTTACGATTGCTAACTGGATCGTAATTTTATGAATATTAATATGTAACTATGATGAGATAATGTCAAGAGTTGAGTGTATTATGTAGTCTTAATGTGTTAAGCTACAAAGTAACAATTAACAAAGAGTAGCTAATACTAATAATATTTTAACATCGGCATTTTTTCTACTCTGAGCTGCTAAAGAGCTAAAAACCTCAATAAAATAGGTATTTCACCCAACCTAGATATCGTATCTAGGACCTCCTTATCTGTATCTACCTAAATGTTAGCTAATAGACCAATAATGATTTATACTACTGCCTTTATACTTTCTTAGATTTACGCTAATATTTGACATTTTAAATAAAACTATTTTTTCGGATTTTTTTGCAGATTTATTTTGATTTTTGGTTCCATAAAAAAACGTATTATAAGACACTTTGGTGCCATTTTTCATTTTTTTTGAATTCATTTTGTTATTTGTGGGTAGGTTGTCTGTAACAACTATATAATACCTTTGAGACATCTAACACTTAAGTCTCTCCCGTGACCATGATTGCTGTAAAGCATTCGAAACGTCGGGAACCAAAAATCAAAATAAATCCGCGAAAAAATCTGAAAAGATTGTTTTATTTACTACCTTTATTTTTGAAATCGATCAAAAATAATTAGGGGCGCCATTCGAGCAATATCTAATAGCCTCAATCTCCTCAATTAAAACGAACATGGCGGAAGGATGTCTTCGTTTCCCTTTAAGCATCTATTTGTATACAAAATAATTTAAATTACCTAATACTAAGTAAGTAATATTTATTTTATTCCAGGTCGCATACGCAATAGCTCTTATCTACGAAATAGTATGGGTGGTTGAATCACAAAGCGGGCTTCCAGTGCCGTCAGTACTTCTCATGATATGTTACTGTATCATTATCGCGGCCACCGTCACCTTGGTGCACGGCCTTATATCAGTAAGTATTAAGAGTTATTAATTAATCATTAATAATATTTCAAAAGCATTTTAATAGTTAACACTTATTAAGAAAAAAACATTTATCGAATTTACTTCTAGGATAATAAATCATCGATTTGTTAACAGATAGATATTAATAGTCATATTTATCTATACTATATAATAATATAAAGAGGCAGAGTTTGTTTGTTTGTTCGTTTGAACGAGTGAATCTCAGAAACTCCTTATCCCATTTGAAAAAATATTTCTGCATTAGATAGTTATTGAGAAAGGCTATAGGCTACATATCACATAATATATAGTCTACATATATAGTCTATCTATTCCATACTAAACGTTAGAACGTACATAGGGATGGACCCGAGCAAAACAAGGGTGAGTCGCTAGTTACAAACTAATTCAATTATGACTTCATTTTATTGCTTAGTATATTCATACTGTATCTTTCATTTGACTTTAAATGTTAAAAACAAGAACACGAAACAGTAATAAATGTTTTATAATATTATTAATAAATTATATAATAAAATAAATAACTAACATTGCCCGCGGCTCCGCCCGCGTTCAGATGACCAAAAACTAAATTCTAAGGTTTTACATATTAGTATACTCTTACAATGCCGTTTTTGTATTTTTTCTCAGAAATGAGATATTTTCCCGCGGTAAAAAGTATTCGTTAAGTTGACCCGGATAACCAGCTATCATCATACCAAATTTCATCAAAATCTGTCCAATGGTTTTCTCGTGATGCGGTAACAGACAGACAGACAAAAATTCTAAAAACTATAGATTCGAACTCTGTGTCGATAATAATGTCTATTTCAATAAAATTTTCCAAAAAATATTTAATGTATAGATTAGACTTAGTTACAATTTTATTATATGTATAGATTTTGATTGCGTGTCTGTCTACATTATGATTTATAGATGTATCATGCAATAGGTGTATTCTTCATATGCTGACTGCGTATGCTTGTATGTAAATAAGGTACTCGGTTACCAATATTGCACCGATCTGCGTAATATTCTTTTTTACAGTGCGTGTGATACATATATGTATTAAGAATGAACATGAATAATAATAATATAAAATAGGAGATCGTTAAACTCTTTTTTTTTAGTTAAAGAATATTAATTTTAATCATTTGAATGTTTCTAAATGCTTTCGTATTATACTAAGATTTGCAATTCAATTTTGTTTCTGGCTGAAAATATAGGGTGTTATTATATAACATATCTCAAAAAATATCATAAAAATATTTTACAAAAATAAGTGAAAAATCTATAGGTAAATACATGCAATAAAATTCTGAGTCGAATCTGTACATTAATTTTTTTTTTGGAAAATCCGATTGAAATGATTATTATTATCGATACAGAGGCCGAATCTATAGTTTTTAGAATTTTCTGAAAAACCACTGGACAGATTTTGATGAATTTTAGTAAGATAATAGTTGATTATCCGGGTCGACACATAAGATACTTTTTACTGCAGAAAAATATCTCATCTCTGAGAAATCTACGCTAAACGCTAAACGTAGTAATTGAAATAAAATTAAATCTGAGAACAATATTCAACATTGAAAATTATAACAACAACATCAGTTGTAACTTATTTAATTTATTAGAGTTGAAGTTAAAAATAAATCGTTTCTCTTATATTTTACAGAAAAACAACACGTACTTATTGGCGTGGCTCATCTCAGTCATTCTAGTGCTGATACCAGAATGTGCTCTAGTCTTCTACATGTCTATTAGTCATTGGGTAAGTTACCATGCCTTATTTTATTTTTTTGTATTGTATGATTTAAATACCTACGGAAATAATATGATTTATTACTAGTAGTGTTATCTATACATATAATAAAATTGTAACTTAGCTGAATCTGTACATTAAATATTTTTTGGAATATCTTATTAAAATAAACATTATTATCGACACAGAGGCCGAATCTATAGTTTTTTAGAATTTTTGTCTGTCTGTTACCGCATCACAGAAAAATGACTGGAGGGATTTTGAAGAAATTTGGTATGATGATCCGGGTTAACATATAGGATACTTTTTACTGCGGGAAAATATCTCATTTTTTAGAAAATATACAAAAACTGCAATGTAAGAGTATACTAATATGTAAAACCTAAGAATTTGGTTTTTGGTCATCTGAGCGCGGGCGGAGCCGCGGGTAATGCTAACTGTAATATAAACTTGTATTGTGTAATTTAAATACTGAAGTAGTGTTAATTATTACTAGTTGTAGTGTTATTATAATAACACATTTTCTAACTAAATGAATGCTTGGGTTGTCCAATTAAGTTCAATTTCGAAATTTGCTATGGAAGTACAATATTTTACTTAACTAAATAGCCTTTTATACTAACTGTACTTTATATAAACCATTTTTTTAAATTATAACGTTATTGTTATAAAGCCAATTTTGAGCCTACAATAGCTGTTTTCAATTCTGTAGGATAAGAGGAAAGTGTTACGAATTTAGTTTGCGAGATTTGACCCATACAAGCATCTCGCAAATATTACGATAATATATAAAAGCTTGTAAAAAATAACAAGTTTGATACCTGGCTTTGAAAGATGCAGATTTAGTTTTTATATCAAAATTGACCCGAAACCCTTTAATCATTTTTTGCTAACTTATCATTAGTTTAGAATGTAGCCATGTGTTAGTTGATTACTTGGTAGTTGGTACCTATTATCTGACAGAAGTCGCGGAGTAACCAATGTCATAACTTAAGAACCTTTGCGGCTGCAACAATTCATCTAAAAATACACATTTTAAAAATACTCATTTTTATTAGGGTTCCCAAATGGCTAAAACAGAACTCTTATAATTTCGTCATGTCCGTCCGTCACAGCTATTTTACTTAGAAGACTATTGGAGCTACAGTGCTGAGCATAGAAAATTCTGTAGTAAAGTTATAAAAAAATAGGGATGGAGCTTTATACATGAGTAGCTGAGGGGTTAAAAAAATATTTACGTCAACATTAGCGTGTGCAGTGTCTCTACATACTCATCAGTATCTAGTACTCTCTATGACTTTTTTGTTCAAGCCAATAGCTTTTTTTATGTTGGGACATTAACACACAATACTATCGAATTCCATGGTAAGCTACGAGGCTTGTGTTATAGATACCAGGAAGTTGATACATATCAACATGATTAATCCATACTAATATTATAAATGTGAAAGTGTGTTTGTTTGTCTTTCTTTCACGTCGAAACGGAGTGACGGATTGGCGTGATTTTTTGTGTGGAGATAGTTGGAGGGCTGAAGAGTGACTAAGGCTACTTTTCACCGCGAGATATTATCTAATTCCCACGGGAATGATGATGATGATGATGTTCTCCTAGCCGATTCCGGCCATGGCGGCCAATCTCAATGAGATTAGCCAACTGCGCAGGAGATATTATAGTGCTCAAGTGTACGCGCAGACACAAGTGCACTCTCTATTCCTATCACTCTCATACTCCGGTGGGACGACCACTCGACACGACCGGTGAGAGTTAAGGCGCAGGACCGACGGCTTTACGTGCTCTCCGAGGCACGGGGGTGAAACACCGCCAACTTCCCAACTCCGGGCTGTTACTGAGACTTACTATACAGGAAGACTCAATAACTAAACTTGGCCCGACCCGGGACTCGAACCCAGGACCTCCGGGTGTGCAGCCGTACATGCTAGCCACTACACCACCGAGGCAGTTAAATTCCCACGGGAATACACATTATAATACAATCCAAAAAAATATTTATGGTCGGAATTACTTGAAACTTGGTATTAAGGCTCTTCAATAAAATTAAATAAACACATGTTTTAGTATTTTTCAAAATTTATCTTATAAAGGGGTAAAATAGGGGACGAAAGTTTGTATAAAACTACCTTTTGTTTTTTTGTAATTTTAGAGCGAGCGAAGCCGCGGGTTCTGCTAGTACATTATAAATACTATATTATAAAAATAAACCCCCATAACTGGATTACAAATATTCGTGTTCATCACACAAATGAATGCCCCCAGCGGGACTCGAACACGCGACTGGTAGCACAGCAAGTATTAAAGTCACTACAAACTAAGTCAAACGTGTCGTCAATAGTTGCATAGGTATATGCTTCTAGTCATAAACAATCTGTAATTTCTTTGACAGGGTTTACAAGGTGTATACGGAGGTGCAGAGCTGGCGTGCTACGTGGCACGTTTGCCCGCGATTGTATGTGGCGTTGTACTGGTGCAGTCCGCGTATGCGCTGAGAGAGGCACGGTATGTACATATTTTTGAAGTGTGTATCCCTTATTTTTAACTTTCCATAACTTGGCATGCGCCCTCTACAATGTGAAGAGGATTAAGTTAGACCAGCTATAGTCAACCTGCGGCCCGCGAGCCGTATGCGGTAGCATCAAAAATCGCATTATAACATATCTTTGTTAAGAAAGTAACTACAAAGTTAACTTAGAATTACGTTTTCATTACGACCTAAATAACTTTCGCTTGCGGCCCTCGACACCAGGACTGAAACGTGTTTATGGCTCCTATAACAAAATGGTTGAGTATGGCTGAGTTAGACTATAGCTTGCCAAGTGCGGGTTGGTGGACTTCATATGTCTTTCGAGAACTACTTTCTCAGACATGCGTAATGCGTACGGAAGCGATGCCACAACGCCCCAATATCGGGACGATAGAATTTTGATAGCGGTTCAGTGAGTAAAAGTTTTACAATTACTACTCAACGGTCTACCTATTGCCAGTTACCTCAAAAAAATAGTGGGCTTACGCTGGGTTTGCTCAACTTCTTACGTCTTATATATGTATGTTAGATGAAATTTGTAAATCATTACATATTTCATCTCAGGTATGTTAATATGACGTAAGATAGCCCTTACGACACACGGTTTTCTACTAACACAATAAAAATCTAATAATTTCACAAGATGAATCAATCAATGAACGAAATCGGCTGTTTTATGAATAATAAATCACATATCGCAACATTCGATGATGGTTTTCTAAGCGATATGGTAATGTAATCATATTTATCTTAGTTAAAAACATAGCTAAGTTGTATCAATAGGTCGTATACAGCGCTGGATTTACACTAGGGGCACTCGGGGCCCAGGGCGGCAAATTTTTGGGGGCGGCAAAATTCGGAGTGTGCAAATAGAAATTATCTTCGCGTTAAAAAATGATATAAGTGATGAAAAATGATAAAAATGAATAATTTGAAAAAAATGGTTAATTAGTAGGTACATTTTTCAAAAAATTGAATCATTTATAAATTATTTTTTCGTATTTTTCAATAAATTATATTAAAAAAAACTTTATTGAATCTTTATCCTTTTTATGCAAAATTTCGACAATTGGGCGGTATTTTCTACTATGTCCAAGGGCGGCGGTAAGGTTGAATCCGGCACTGGTCGTGTTAATTATAATTTATAATATAAATATGAGTTCTCCGTCCTAGGCGCTTATACATAATATATATTTAGGAAACCTATATTTAGTGGTTTAAGAAGTTAGCATTACTTAAATTTTGATACTTACTTTATATTTTGTAGACTTTATCTTTTGTATATAAGAAGAACTAACGTAAAATATTTCACTCAACAGGAAAGCTGAATATGTCAATGGCGTTCCAGTAAGTGGTAGCGAGTTTGATGCCAGCCATTTTGTGCCGGACACGCCGAATGCTTTCACAAACGATGGCTTCTTATCTGACAGTGGTAATTTTAGAGTTAATATATCGAAAAAGTTAATTTGAAACAATTGAAATTTATAAATTAAATTGCAGTTTCTCTGTGATTTCTAAACAGCTACCCGATATTGCGTTCCATTATTTATTTATCTATTCGAACCCACTTATCTTTTGAACGACTGAATCGAGTTTTAATCGGACTTCATTGGATAGTGTCTTCACCATAAGTAACAAAGGCTATTTTGTATCTCGAAAATAAAAAATGGATGAAAGAAAAACAGGTCTTTACCAAATTAAACGGATCTTTCACTAATTTATAAGGGATTCGGAACAAAACTACAATATTTTTTATGGAGAAACAGGAATAAAAATTACCATTTTTTAATTTTCCTTTCAGGTAAATCCGGTTCAATGCCAGACCTACGTCGTCACTTAGCGACCCGACAGTCCTTCAACATGGGCTATCCCATGATAATGCCCCAACCACCGCCGTACTGGCATCAGTTAGAACGACAATACGCTGCCAGTCTACGAGGATATCCGAAACCACCACATAACTTCGGCACATGGGCACCTAGAACCGTACCAGATAATCCTTACAAGCGAAGACACTCAGTAGTAGGTGCTTTTAATATCGAGGACTACAAAAACTATGAATATGAAGACAGAATGGACTGCAAGAGCGAGATGGCATACCCCTACCGACCTACATACATATATGATCCTAGAATGTTCCCACCCGACTATGATCCTAGATTCTACCAAGATTACAAAAGAGATGAATACATGAGAAACGATTATTATAATGGACCCGACAGAGTGTACTATGGAATGCGCAACAGTCATAATTCTGTTGGCAATGAATCTGATGACTTGACGAAATATAAAGATGTTGCTCTTTAAATCTATAAATGTAGATATTTTTATTATATATAATTATTTTTCGCTCAAAGACTACATTTCTTAGTTTATTTGTGAAAGAGTATTAATTTTTGTTTTAAGTACATATTATGTATATGAAAAGCAGATTGTATACTCCATATCATAAAATAATGTTAAATGTTATTGTACAGTGTACAGCACAAATTATTTGTCGTAGAACATGTATACAATTACAACCAAGACTACGCATATCCTTAGTATAAGACATTTAATCTTCTGAAAGATATTATAATTCAACTAGTATTTTTTATGTCAATATAAACAATTGATTATTCAAATAAAAAACTTATAATGTCAACAAGAATTAAAGTTTTAAAATATAAACACATCAGTTAAAACGATTATATTTGAAGTCTTTGATTTTGATAATTTCAATACTAGGATGTCTTACTAGCTATAAAATGTAATGTAAAAATATTTTTATATGTTCTAAGTACCTACCTAACTAGCATAAGAAATCATTATGGAAATAAGTATTAATAAATCTAGTTTGTTACCTAATAACCAAAGGATTGTAATTGCTCTAAAATATAAACAAAAACATTTCCAGTCACTATTTTGTGTAAGTTATTATTAAATAAATGTGTAAAAATGTGATGCTTTAGTTTTATTTACCCAAACATATTGTACCTACATTGACAAAAAATATTTCTGTATGAAATCTACAAAATATTCTGTTATACATTCTTAATAAACAAATTTGAAAAATGTGCTAGATATGAAATTGAATGATTAGTAAATAATAAATAAAATTATACAATATTCAAAATTAAGAATATCTTTTGAAAAGAAAATAGAACACAATCATAGGTCGATGCTATTCCGAATTTATATAATCCGAAACCAGACCAAATTTGACTATGGCGGCCAATTTCACACACATTTTATAAATTAAACACCTGTAACTAATATTAGGAACTGTTTTCATTGTAAGTGCTTTATTATTTTTAATAGCAAAAACCGTATGTAACTAATGCCCGATTTCACCAACGTCACCTAAGTTTAAGGGATCCCCTAAGCATGGTTAGGGGGCTGTTAGAGGAGTTTCTGTTTCACCGACAGTTAGGGGTCACCTAAATGTTAAAAGGCCCCTAAATTTAAGTTCTCGAAATATGGGCTTAAATTGACGACGGTAAAACGAAATTTAATTTAGGGGCTAGTTTAGGGGAATTTTAAGCTAGGGATCCCATACGTAGGTAGGTAGCTTATGGGTTGTTGGTGAAATCGGGCATAAGAGTGCTAAATTAATTATAAAAACATTGATATACAAAAACTCATCAATGCATAAAATCTAAAATTTGAAAAAAATAAATACTTTAAATACTATGTGCTCAGCTCTGGCAGTTCCATAAATAAAAATAGGTAATATTTTCTCTATTTGTGGCAGTTCGCACTCCGCAGTCTGCGTGTACGTCGTACGATGCTTTTCGCGCCTTAAAACGAATGATAAATGATAATTGACAATTGACAGAAAATAGATAATAATATTACACGTTTTTTTATATGGCAGCACCGAACTATACTAAATAGCTACATAACAATCGTAAATCGGTATTTATTTATTTGTAACATGTTTCATCAAATCAATATAATAATAAAAACATGCAATAACGATCCTTTTTCGAAGTGAAAACTTCTATATGGCAGGTTTGGATGGGGAGTAAATTCATGTAAGTCGTCATTGACATGGTCACGTGACGTGGTCACGTGACGTGTTAACACTAACTTAGAGCAATAACAAGCGTATATGATCTATAATCTATATTTAATTGAACATTAACAATATTCCTAAGCGTGTCTTTCTTATAGACTTTCCAACGCAACGGACAGAGACAGAGGTACACAATTTGTCCTTTCTTAAAATCGCAATGAAGCCGGTTATGCTATAGAATTACTATATTTATATATTGATTATTAATTATTATAGTGATTATCTTCACTTTTCTTTGAACTATGGCTGTTAGCGCCTTAAACTACACTAGCCATCGAGACAAAATGTTTCAAGTTTCATTAAAACAAAGTCTGTTACATCTAATTGCTTTTAATTATTAAAATAATCACAAATATCAAAAACTCTGTAAGTCACCAGCTGGTCACTTCAGCAAGCAAACATTGGTTTCACATCGTTGAAGACGATAGTTTGTTCATTATTAAGATAAAGCAGTGAAAATTATAAGTTTATTGGTTCAGTTTAATACGAGTCCTCCATGCTTGTTATTTCTCGAAGACGCTAACACTCAGAATGCCGATAGATATCAAAACCAGATAAATGTAAACAGTTTTAATTTACAAATGTTAATTTAAGATCAAACAGTTAATTTGAATATCCAAAAATAACAACTGTTTTTTTATAGTTTTAAGTTTTCACTTCTGTCGGCAGTCCTCATGACTGCTTTTTATTTTATTATTTTTTTTGTTTTTTTTCTCACAGTTTTTACAATGATTAAAAAAGTAAATAGTACTAAAGTAATAAGCTGTTACGAAAGCTATCAAAAATTAACTTAAAATGTTCACAATTCAATGCAATTGTATTGAATTGGGAACATTTTATGTATGATTTAACTTATTATTTCTATCTTTAGAATAATAATATTTATAAATTTATCCCTGGAGGCTGGAAGATTAAAAACAATTCTCTTTCATAATTGTATTAATGTTAGGATTAAGGAATGGATAGTCAGATATTGATAATGTTATTATAGTCACCATTTAAACACTTGTTGCCAGTTTAAAAATAACCATTTCACTATTATCGTTTTATTTATATTGACAAAGAAAACTTCATTATTTTTGAATAGAAATTATTATAGTATGTATTTTTCAATATATCAAGTTTTATTTTAATTAAAAACATTAAAATATGCAATGATATGATATATACTGTCTTATTTTAAAATAAGCAAATTTAGAATTTAAGCCTTGGTAATAAAGTTGCATTCAGTATTCAAGTAACACTCTAATTCCGTTCGGCGATCGGCATTCTTAAAACTTGTCAGTGAGAAATTTACAACTGATGAACTGAAGTCGTCGACATTTGTTAAAAGTTTGGAACTTTTTTGAACATTCAAACAAACTTTTTTCGTGGCACATTTCATCGTTTCAAGTTAAATTTCATACTAAAACTTAAAAAAGCTATGTAAAAATCAATTTAAAGAAACTTTTTTGTGATGTTTCAAGTTGTATAACTGTTTATTGTTTTGTGTAGGTGGCTACCTATGTGGATCGGTTTGTCCCATTGTGAAAGTGTATTTTCGCATAAAATTTAGATCCCATTGTTTAAAACTTTCCGGGTAACTGTTGAGAAAATGCCGAGCGAGTAACTTGCGTAAGATATATGAATCGACCTGTTTTAGTGCAATGTGTCGAAACAGTTATATATGATTTTACTCCTTCGTAAAACATGTAAGTTGTAAATATTATTTATTATTATAAAAACATTTAATCTAACAACTATTTTTCGTACTAAAATATTAAGAATATGTTGTATATGCATTTATCTTTCTATAATACTCCTACTATAGTTATCTTGAAACTTGAGATAATGGATCTAACTGCATTATCTATCAATTTATTCAGTGCACGCTTAAAAAGTAGTTCTATATGAATTATGTTTTGAAATTAAACTATTTATAATGTTTCTCTTAAAGCTATTAATTCATTTTTTTTCCCCAAAAAAGGATAATAATTTATAAAATCGAAGGAAAACATAATGCCCCTTTTTCTTTTTTACCCTAATCCCTGGCTTGTGACTATTTGAAATTGTAATTAAAAATAATAATATATTAAATAACATTTATTTTAATAGGTAATCTAATATCATGTAATAAGAAATGTAACTCAATAAATCTTAGTAATATTGCATTTTCAATTATATTACACTTTTATTTGGTGTTGAAATGGTAAATTCCTATCTATATATGTATTTATTTTGTATGTAATTTTAATGAACAGTATTTTTTTGTAAATTTAATATAAAATTTTAATTTTTGTAATGCTTAAATTATATTTTAAGTTTTTATTTTTCAGTTCAGTGTTGAGAAAAATGAATGTACAGTCCCAAGACAATGTTGGAATCATTTCTTCAGGTACTATTTTAATTTTAATCCTTACAATAATAATCCTGGAACACCATAATCTAACTTGGATTTTTTTATTCTTTATTTTTGGAAGGGTTTGATTATAGAGAGTACTACAAATTTCAAATCTATTCTGTTTTAATACAATTGTACAATTTTATATAGTATCCTCGCTTGATTCGATAGGGGTGAAGCGGGAATGCTGTTGCAAACACCAACATCTATTTTATTTAACTTAAATCTTTTAAAGAAACACATTCTACTTGGCAACATGGAAATCGATTATTCAAAAGTTACTCATAGCATTATGTGATATTATCAGAAAGTACAAAATGCTTGGATGAGAAAACATGAAGAAGTTTGGTTCTAAAGGCTAAGTTCTGTAGGTTGGTGTCTAAACATGCTTTTCAAATAAAAACTTATTTTTAGCAAATTATATAAGAAATTGTGTATAGAGTCAACATAGTAGGTAAACATTATTGTGTTAAATTTAGGAAAAATAATATGCGGGAGTCATGGCCTGAAATAGTACCCATGACCATATTTCACACATGGTATATTTGTTCACCTTGTCATGGTTAGGGGCCTCATCTAACATGGAGTGAAGCCAAGAAACATACTGGGAGGTGGCCCACCTTCTAATGTCGCTACAAAATTCAATTAACTGGAAAAATCATATAATAACTTCAATATAATCTAAAAAAAGTTATATTTAAAATGTTCATATAAATCTAAGAAAGTATTATTGGTTGAAAATAGACCACAATATAAATCTATAAAACATTAATTTATATAAAAACAACAATGTAAAAAAAAGCCCTTTTAAAACATATGATGCATGAACCTTGTAGTTTTTAAATGGAACGATCAACAAGACTTAAC